TGGTCACATCCCCGCTGCTTGTACTCGGGTCGTCCACACTACTCGTATCGGAGCCTATGTCACTGAAACCCGAGAATGATTCATCGCATGTACTGTCACTGAATAAACTTGTGTCTGGGGACATACATGGTGGTGGTGATGATAACGGTGTTGATCCATGACAGCGGGGTAAGCCGGGTGAGGCACGTGTACCGTACACGCTCGCCACATCATCGACCTCAGTCTCTCCCTCGCTCGTATCAGACCTGTGTAAGGTCATTCTCTGGATCATAGTCTAGGTCATCATCCATAGCACCGTCATCATACAAAATGTCGTGTATCTTCTTCTCAGAGAGTCGTTTTCCATGACTCCGGGTCACTGTGGAGCGGGAGCTTGTAGACGATGTGTCAGACATGGTTGCTACTTTGAAACTGAGGCTCCCCATGGCCACGAGGCATGCTGGGATTTTTTTCAAGATGGCAAACGATCACTGGGGCCCCCCAGGCATCCGTCTTGTACCTGCGTCACCGCGCGGCAGTTTTGAATGGAACATGAAAAATAAAAATACCCAGAGGCGCGTTGCACACCCCAGACTAGAGCCTGCAGGTGCATTGCGCAATTGACGGGTTATATAATTTGGTAATAATATCTTTGTGGCAACTGCCACCTGACAGCGCAGGTGGAGTAGACCAGTGCAGGATGCTTACTGTGTCAGCGCCTCAATTTTCCCAGATTTCCTCGCCCTGTTGCAATCAAAATATGTCACCTACGATTTTTTATTATTTTTCCCTGTAATCAGGAAACACATTTTAACAATCTTAGAAGGAAAAAAAACTTCTTGCTCCTGGCGGTGTTGCAGGCTATAATCACAAGCACCACCCAGGGATTAAGGCCAGCAGTTTGTACTGGATGCCTTCTTGGTTGGGTGGGGGAAGTAATTACCTAAGTGTAGTTACAGGATGAGAGCTACGCTCGTGGTGTCCCGTCTTCCCAGCACTCTTTGTCATATAACGCTTTGAAACTACTGACGGTCTTGGCCTCCACCACCTTCTCACTTAACTTGTTCCAACCGTCTACCACTCTATTTGCGAAGGTGAATTTTCTTATATTTCTTTGGCATCTGTGTTTAGCTAGTTTAAATCTATGACCTCTTGTTCTTGAAGTGCCAGGTCTCAGGAAATCTTCCCTGTCGATTTTATCAATTCCTGTTACTATTTTGTATGTAGTGATCATATCACCTCTTTTTCTTCTGTCTTCTAGTTTTGGCATGTTTAATGCTTCTATTAAACCTGTGTCACTTGCTCCATGCGCCTCTGTGAGGGTGCCAAGTTACGGCTCTGGTCCTCGGTAGGCCCAACAGAACTCTGCAGCTGATGTAACCTAGTGGTTGAAAGCCATCTCAGCGAGATAGTTTCAGGGAGCCACTAGGGCTTATCTAGAAAGAGGCTTTTCATTACATTCAACTCAGGTTATATGTTATTATATTTTATTATTATTATTATTATTATTATTATTATTTAGAAACTCCTTAGCAGCTGTGATGAGGATTCAAACTTATGCGCTGGGGATTTCCAGGTACATGCCGCAGACAGCTAGGCCATGACATGGTCAAAAAAGTTGCAACTTGGGGTTCTACTGAACCCATGAGGATTTCTGAGGCTTCTACTGAAGCCAAGCCAGGGTTTCCACACAATTTCCCCATGCACTCTAGCTTTGTCATCTTGGAATGTTCTCTCTCTGATGCTCCTCTTTCAATATGGAGAGAGAAATGAAACCTTGCCCGAAACGCTATGCGTATTAGTGGCTTTAGGTATTGTATGTACTAGATCTATCTATAAATCCAACATTATGTTTGTAAATCAACTATGTATGTACTTTTCCTGAATTAAAATTTATTGATTTATTATTTATTTAGAAATCACATTAATGTGATGTATCAATGAGAAACTCCATTGAAAGAGGATTCGAACCCATGCACTGGGTATTCCCAGGCAGATAGACCAATGCTTGGGAGCACCCAGCACATTGGTTCGAATCCTCATCATGTCTCCTACAAATATTGTGATTGATACATCACATTAGTGTGATTTCTCTCTGTGTATTGAAAGAGGAGCATCAGAGGTTGAACATTCCTCGAGGACAAAGACAGAATGCATGGGGAGATTGTGTAAAACCCTGGTTCAGCTTCAGTGGAAGCCTCAAGAACCCTCATAGTTTCAGAAGAACCCCAGGTTGCAATCTTTTGGATCATGTTGTGGCCTAGTTGTCTGGGGCATGTGCCTGGAAATACCCAGCGCATAGGTTTGAATCCTCATCACAGCTCCAATGGACTTTCTCATTGATACATCACGTTTGTGTGATTTCTCTCTGTGGATTATTATTATTATTATCATTATTATTATAATATTCTGTACAGTATATTAATGGTTTAGACACAGAATTGAAAACCTACATTTGCAAATTTGCAGACCATACAAAAATATGACAGGAGATGAATTCAGTTTAAGAGACAGATCCCTACATGATCGTCTAGATAGGCCAACAGAGTGGATGGAAGTTTTGCAAATGCAATTTAATGTTTAAGTAAATGTTTAGATATATCATTATGAAACAGAACTCAAAACAGTGGATGGAAATTGGATAAGTTTAGATTTAGGAATGGCATGGGAAAATAATGTTTTGGAAACATTTGTTGATTTATAGAACAAATTACAGTAAAAAGCAGATGTCTTGCTCTCTGATTCTCGCACTTATGCTCCCCTGACTTCTAACCCTTTGGATCGCCTCAAAACTTCCTTTAACCGCAAACTAAGACAGCTCTCTAGTCTTTGCCCTCCTGACTTTGATCTCATTAAACATTTCCGTGTCATCTGCCCTTCTCTTCCATATTTCTATGGTCTTCCTAAAACTCATAAACCTGGTGTTCCTCTTCGTCCAATCATTTCTTCACGGGGCTCTGTCAGCTATCCTCTTGCCTCCTGGCTCGCTAAAACCCTGACACCTTACCTTGGCACTTTTTCCCCTGCCCACTTTCGTCACTCTCAGGACTTCATAGAAAGACTGTGCCTGCAACCCTCTTGTAAGATGCTTAGTCTTGATGTCGACTCTCTGTTCACTAATGTTCCGCTCGATGACGTTCTCTCTTTCCTTAGACAGAAGGCGTCAGAGGGCCTCCTTCCTCTCCCACTTCCCACTGACGTTTTCCTCGATCTCATTAGACTCTGTGTTGAATCTAACTCTTTCTCTTTCAACGGTAAATATTACACTCAAACTTTCGGTGTCGCTATGGGTTCCCCTCTCTCCCCTGTTCTTGCTAATTTCTACATGGAATACTTCGAAACTGTTCTTCTTCCTTCTATTGATACTAGTCCCTCTCTCTGGCTTCGCTATGTTGATGACATTTTTGCTTTATGGCCTCATGACCTTAATCTTTTCCAGCCTTTCCTCGCCTCTCTTAACAATCTGGCTCCTTCTATCCATTTCAAAGTTGAGTGGGAATCTAATTCCCTCCTTCCTTTTCTTGATGTTCATGTTCACAGCTCTGTGTCTGGGTTCTCTTTCTCTGTCTACCGCAAACCCATGCATAGTGGCATGTACATTCACTTCTTTTCCTACCATCCTCCTCCTGTTAAGAAAAGTGTCTTCGTCTCTCTCTTCCTCCGCGCTCTACGCATCAGCGACCCTCAGTTTCTTGATTCTGAAATTGCCTTTATCTACAAATCATTCTCTCGCCTTGGTTATCCTTTGTATTTCATCAACTGTGCCTACTCTCAAGCTAAACGAAATTTCTTTCATCCTAAACCTGCTTCCAACACTAGTAGCACTGTACTATGCCTTCCCTTCATATCTGAACTCAAAACTTTTACCAATACCTTTCGTCCTCTTGACATTAAACTCGCTTTTCGACAAACTAACACACTTCGTAGTAATCTAGTTCACACTGCTCCTCCTGCTTCTAATTCTGCTGGTGTCTACTCTATTTCCTGTTCATCTTGTCCTCTCCAATACTTTGGCGAAACTGGCCGTACACTGAATGACAGACTTAAAGAACACAAGAGAAGTGTTAAGTCTGCAGACACTAACAATGCTCTCTTCTGTCATGTGACGGATTCTAATCATCCCATTGATTGGTCTTCCTCCAAAATAATCTTTCCTGCCTCTACTCTACACAGACGCCGTCTTGTAGAATCGGCTCTTATACACAATGTACCCAACATGAACTTGAGTCCTGGCTTTGTTGCTGTGGACTCTTCCCTTTCACAGTATATACTCAAATGCTCTAATCTTTCTAACAAACGTGACTTAACATAAGCTTACCCCTTCCATTTATCTTTCTTTTTCTCTTTCCTTTTCTTTCTTCTCCCTTTTTCTGTGCATTGTCTTCTCCTACGCTCCCTTGCTATCCTCTTCTTATTCCTATTACTATCTCCTTCGGTAGTTATAATGGGAGCTGCCTCGTATGGGCCAATAGGCCTTCTGCAGTTCTCATTATTACTACTGTCCCCTGCACCTTACTTTCCTCCTCAGCTCTCTCTTGCCTATTTATTGCCTGTCCCTACCGGTCCTCATCACAATCGACTTGAGAATGGTCCAGGACGGACCGAAACGTCGTCGTTCCTTCAACTTCTAGTGTGTGGTCTGGTCAACATACTTCAGCCACGTTATTGTGACTCATCGCCTGCAAATTACAGTGTTTCACAATAGACAAGGGATTGATGGATTGCTTTAAGCATAGGTTAGACAAATGTATAAATGAGTTTGGGTAAATATAAATAAAAGCTGCCTCATATGGGCCTATATTCTTCCTGCAGTTTCCTTAATTCTTATATTCTTATCACAAGTGCCTAACAGAGGAAATCAATTTATAGTGTGAGATACTGTATATTAAGAATGTATAATTTAGTTAGAGGTGTTACTGCTACTGATAGACTGCATTTATTGGAAGATTCAATAAACATTATTTAACTGACTACATCACTGCTAATACTCTACTTGTAAAACTGTAATACCACATTTTCAGGTTAATGTTGAGCTTGGACCCACCATTAGTGATGATGAAGATTTTGATGGGTCTGGTTATGGGTCAGAGGATGAGTATTATCCTGCCAGGATCCCTCCAATACAAGTTCAGTGTCAGGTGCAGAAACTCCTCACCTACCCTCAAATGCCCTCCCCAGCTATTCAGCCTACATATAAAAAGGTTTAACATTTATATTCCACTTTTATTTCTTCAAATATTTAATGAAGAAATCATTATGATTATCAGTTTGTAGTCATTTTCTTTATCAGGTATCCTGAGAAAGGCTATATTATAGCATTCAAATGGTTTTTATTTATTTATTCTGCTTTCAGTAATCTTTAGTATCTTAAGACCACATTTCCACATTAACTTGACCATTACAACACTTTAATTTAATGTTAAAGGGAGAATTTCCTTCCATAATTTGGTCAGGTAACCTCCAGGTGGCTGACTTTAGAACCAATTTAGCCCTACAGTAGAGAGGCAGGGCCTCTTCATTCTGAGAGATATTTAAAAAATGAATAAGCTGAGTTATTTTGTAAAAGATACAGTGATTGGACTTGGATTAAGTCCAAGGCCAACCCAAATCATACTCAACAACAAATAATTCATAACTGCACCAAATTTTATCCACACACACATCATGATGACAAGTGGTACTCATGGAGTTTTCCAGGGAAAGTTACAGGGGATGCTCTAGGGAATGCTCAGGGAATGCTCCAATGGCTGTTCCAAGGGATGGTCAGGGGTACTCCAAGAAATACACCAGGGGATTCTCAGGAGATGCTACAGGGGATGTTCGTGAGGATGCTCCAAGTGATGCTAAAGAGGGGGTGCTCCAAGGGGTGCTTCAAGTGATGTTAAGGGGGATGCTCCAAGGGATGCAAAAGGTGGTGCACCAAGGGGATGATAAGGAGGTGCTCCAAGGGATGCTAAGGGGGTGCTCCAAGGGATGCTAAGAGGAGGGGTGCTCCAAGTGATGCTAAGGGGTGCTCCAAGTGATGCTAAGGGGTGCTTCAAGGAATGCTAAGGGGTGCTCCAACGGATGATAAGAGGGTGCTTCATGGGATGCTAAGGGGTGCTTCATGGGATGGTAAGGGGTGCTCCAAGGGATGCTAAGGGGTGCTCCAAGGGATGATAAGAGGGTGCTCCAAGGGATGCTAAGGGGTGCTCCAAGGGATGATAAGAGGGTGCTCCAAGGGATGATAAGAGGGTGCTTCAAGGGATGCTAAGGGGTGCTTCATGGGATGCTAAGGGGTGCTCCAAGGGATGCTAAGGGGTGCTTGAAGGGATGATAAGAGGGTGCTCCAAGGGATGCTAAGGGGTGCTCCAAGGGATGCAAAGGAGGGTGCTCCAAGGGATCTTGAGATGATATCTTGAGATGATTTCGGGGCTTTAGTGTCCCCGCGGCCCGGTCCTCGACCAGGCCTCCACCCCAGGAAGCAGCCCGTGATAGCTGACTAATACCCAGGTACCTATTTTACTGCTAGGTAACAGGGGCTTAGGGTGAAAGAAACTCTGCCCATTGTTTCTCGCCGGCGCCCGGGGATTGAACCTGGGACCACAGGATCACAAGTCCAGCGTGCTGTCCGCTCGGCCGACCGGCTCCCTCATGATAAGGAGAATGATAAGGGGTGCACCAAGGGATGATAAGGGGTGCTCCAAGGGATCATAAAGGGTGCTCCAAGGGATGCTAAGGGGTGCTCCAAGGAATGCTAAGGGGTGCTACAAGAGATGCTATGGGGGAAGGGGGTGCTCCAAGGGATCCTAAGGGGTGCTCCAAGGGAGGCTAAGTGGTGCTCCAAGGGATGCTAAGGGGTGCTCCAAGGGATGCTAAGGGGTGCTCCAAGTGATGTTAAGCGGTGCTCCAAAGATGCTAAGGGGTGCTCCAAGGGATGCTAAGTAGGGGTGCTCCAAGGGATGCTAAGGGAGGTGCTCAAAGGGATGCTAAGGGGGGTGCTCCAAGGGATGCAAAGGGGTACACCAAGGGATGCTAAGGGGTGCTCCAAGGGATGCTAAGGGGGTGCTCGAAGGGATGCTAAGGGGGGTGCTCCAAGGGATGCAAAGGGGTGCACCAAGGGATGCTAAGGGGTGCTCCAAGGGATGCTAAGGGGTGCTCCAAGTGATGTTAAGGGAGGTGCTCCAAGGGATGCTAAGAGGGGTGCTCCAAGGGATGCTAAGAGGGGTGCTCCAAGTGATGCTAAGGGGTGCTCCAAAGGATGCTAAGGGGGGTGCTCCAAGTGATGCTAAGGGAGGTGCTCGAAGGGATGCTAAGGGGGTGCTCCAAGGGATGCTAAGGGGTGCTCCAAGGGATGCTAAGGGGGGTGCTCCAAGGGATGCTAAAGGGTGCTCCAAAGGATGCTAAGGGGGGTGCTCCAAGGGATGCTAAGGGATGCTCCAAGGGATGGTAGGAGGGTGCTCCAAGGGATGCTAAGGGGTGCTTCATGGAATGCTAAGGGGGTGCTCCAAGGGATGATAAGGGGGGTGCTCCAAGGGATGCTAAGGGGTGCTCCAAGGGATGCTAAGGGGTGCTCCAAGGGATGGTAGGAGGATACTCCAAGGGATGCTAAGGGGTGCTTCATGGGATGCTAAGGGGTTCTCCAAGGGATGCAAAGGGGGGTGCTCCAAGGGATGCTAAGGGGTGCTCCAAGGGATGCTAAGGGGTACTCCAAGTGATGTTAAGGGGTGCTCCAAGGGAGGCTAAAAGGGGTGCTCCAAGGGATGCTAAGGGAGGTGCTCCAAGTGATGCTAAGGGAGGTGCTCGAAGGGATGCTAAGGGAGGTGCTCGAAGGGATGCTAAGGGGGGTGCTCCAAGGGATGCTAAGGGGTGCTCCAAGGGATGATAAGGGGGTGCTCTAAGAGATGCTAAGGGGGTGCTCCAAGGGATGCTAAGGGGTGCTCCAAGGGATGCTAAGGGGGGTGCTCCAAGGGATGTTTAGGGGGGGGGTGCTCCATGGGATGCTAAGGGGTGCTCCAAGGGATGCTAAGGGGGTACTCCAAGGGATGCTAAGGGGGATACTCCAAGGGATGCTAAGGGGTGCTCCAAGGGATGGTAGGAGGGTGCTCCAAGGGATGCTAAGGGGGATGCTCCAAGGGATGCTAAGGGGTGCTCCAAGGGATGCTAAGGGTTGCTCCAAGAGATGGTAGGAGGATACTCCAAGGGATGCTAAGGGGTGCTTCATGGGATGCTAAGGGGTGCTCCAAGGGATGCCAAGGGGTGCTCCAAGGGATGATAAGAGGGTGCTCCAAGGGATGCTAAGGGGTGCTCCAAGGGATGCTAAGGGGTGCTCCAAGGGATGCTAAGGGGTGCTCCAAGTGATGTTAAGGGAGGTGCTCCAAGGGATGCTAAGAGGGGTGCTCCAAGGGATGCTAAGAGGGGTGCTCCAAGTGATGCTAAGGGGTGCTCCAAAGGATGCTAAGGGGGGTGCTCCAAGTGATGCTAAGGGAGGTGCTCGAAGGGATGCTAAGGGGGGTGCTCCAAGGGGTGCTCCAAGGGATGCTAAGGGGGTGCTCCAAGGGATGCTAAGGGGTGCTCCAAGGGATGCTAAGGGGGGTGCTCCAAGGGATGCTAAAGGGTGCTCCAAAGGATGCTAAGGGGGTGCTCCAAGGGATGCTAAGGGATGCTCCAAGGGATGGTAGGAGGGTGCTCCAAGGGATGCTAAGGGGTGCTTCATGGAATGCTAAGGGGGGTGCTCCAAGGGATGATAAGGGGGGTGCTCCAAGGGATGCTAAGGGGTGCTCCAAGGGATGCTAAGGGGTGCTCCAAGGGATGGTAGGAGGATACTCCAAGGGATGCTAAGGGGTGCTTCATGGGATGCTAAGGGGTTCTCCAAGGGATGCAAAGGGGGGTGCTCCAAGGGATGCTAAGGGGTGCTCCAAGTGATGCTAAGGGGTACTCCAAGTGATGTTAAGGGGTGCTCCAAGGGAGGCTAAAAGGGGTGCTCCAAGGGATGCTAAGGGAGGTGCTCCAAGTGATGCTAAGGGAGGTGCTCGAAGGGATGCTAAGGGAGGTGCTCGAAGGGATGCTAAGGGGGGTGCTCCAAGGGATGCTAAGGGGTGCTCCAAGGGATGATAAGGGGGTGCTCTAAGAGATGCTAAGGGGGTGCTCCAAGGGATGCTAAGGGGTGCTCCAAGGGATGCTAAGGGGGGTGCTCCAAGGGATGTTTAGGGGGGGTGCTCCAAGGGATGCTAAGGGGTGCTCCAAGGGATGCTAAGGGGGTACTCCAAGGGATGCTAAGGGGGATACTCCAAGGGATGCTAAGGGGTGCTCCAAGGGAGGGTAGGAGGGTGCTCCAAGGGATGCTAAGGGGGATGCTCCAAGGGATGCTAAGGGGTGCTCCAAGGGATGCTAAGGGTTGCTCCAAGAGATGGTAGGAGGATACTCCAAGGGATGCTAAGGGGTGCTTCATGGGATGCTAAGGGGTGCTCCAAGGGATGCCAAGGGGTGCTCCAAGGGATGATAAGAGGGTGCTCCAAGGGATGCTAAGGGGTGCTCCAAGGGATGCTAAGGGGTGCTCCAAGGGATGCTAAGGGGTACTCCAAGGGATGCTAAGGGGGATGCTCCAAGCTATGCTAAGGGGTGCTCCAAGGGATGCTAAGGGTTGCTCCAAGAGATGGTAGGAGGATACTCCAAGGGATGCTAAGGGGTGCTTCATGGGATGCTAAGGGGTGCTCCAAGGGATGCCAAGGGGTGCTCCAAGGGATGATAAGAGGGTGCTCCAAGGGATGCTAAGGGGTGCTCCATGGGATGCTAAGGGGTGCTCCAAGGGATGCTAAGGGGTACTCCAAGGGATGCTAAGGGGGATGCTCCAAGCTATGCTTAGGGGTGCTCCAAGGGATGCTAAGGGGTGCTTCAAGAGATGCTAAGGGGTGCTCAATGGGATGATAAGAGGGTGTTCCAAGGGATGATAAGAGGGTGCTTCAAGGGATGCTAAGGGGTGCTTCATGGGATGCTAAGGGGTGCTCCAAGGGATGCTAAGGGGTGCTCGAAGGGATGATAAGAGGGTGCTCCAAGGGATGCTAAGGGGTGCTCCAAGGGATGCAAAGGGGGGTGCTCCAAGGGATCTTGAGATGATATCTTGAGATGATTTCGGGGCTTTAGTGTCCCCGCGGCCCAGTCCTCGACCAGGCCTCCACCCCCAGGAAGCAGCCCGTGACAGCTGACTAATACCCAGGTACCT